GTTTTAGTTTAAGATTTAGTAAATTTGTTATGTGATTTTGTCTTTTTTTTTTTAATAGTTTGAGTAATTCTAGTATTTCAACTTGAACTTTTCTAACATTTCTACTTTTGTATTAATTGTTAACAATTTATAATAGTGTGTTTTTTATTAAAAATAACAACAATTATGCTGGCATACTTAAAATGTACAAAAAAATTTTTTTTTTCATGGGATCAAAATGAATAATGACAAAAAATAAAATAAAATGACAAAATTATTAATCTTGGTATATGCAAATTTCTAGCCAATAAAATGCTTACAAGAATGAGAAAGTCCCTCCTACTAATGCACCACCTGCTGTCAACTAGATTTCGCAAGTAGCAAATCATGATTCAAAGATGTGATGTAAATGGAAGGCTAATTTAAAAAAAGTCATGTCCTAACTTCCTGTTTTAACGAGAAATATGCCAACACAGGAAATAAAACTGTGTGCATGTCAAGCAATTTTAAAGGTTACAACCATCAAAAAGCTTTTGTATCCAATTCAACACCTCCATCAAATTTTGAATTTAGCTGTCAAATTTCATATTGCCAGCTGAGCAACATTCCTGTTAATATCCATAATATGTTTTTCTTTTTGTGAGGACTAAAGGTTTGAGTTGCAACAATGGTTAGTATTCAATAAATAATATAATAATATTATAAATAATATTCAATGAAAATATATTTATTAAAATGAGCTAATTATATTGGACTCTAATTATATTGAACTTCCGCCAACTACTCAGTTTTGAACACTTTTAAATGCATTTTCTAATCGACAGTCCTAATTTAAATAGTCAAATGCCTGAATACTAAATGACTACATTAGATATACAGTATTATGTATTTTAAGGTTGGAAATAGGAGAAGTGATTGAGCAGGTTTAATTAAGACTGAACTGAATCTGAAATTATGTCCACAGAGACATCAGGGAAGTGTGGCTCTCTGCCTGATGAGCTCGGGCTGTGTGGACACTCTCGAACGTCCAGTTATGCTAGTCAGCAGTCCAAAGTATCAGGTAGGCTTTCCTTTTCCACTGTTTTCTCTCTGATCGCTCAATCATGAGTCTGTGTGATTCTGTTGTCTTGCTGTACTTGAATGCATGCCTGATTTGTATTTTCTGTAACCCTGGCTGTAACATTATCAGGCTGTCAATCAACATGATGCAGTGGTATTGCATGATGATTAACAGATTTTGTAATTTTGCACGTAGGCTGCATGTCATGTGTCTCTGTTCTGTGCCATGGAGTGAAGATGTGTGTGTGCACATATGAGAGAGAGAGAGAATGTGTGTGCAAATCCATTAGCTCACATTATATTTTGTTTGTCCCCCCATTGTGGGGGCCTAAAAATATTGTAATTTTTATTGATTTTAATTTTGATGTACACTATCATTCAAAGGTTTGGGGTCAGTAAGGTTTTTTATGTGTTTGAAAGAAGTTTCTTATGCTCACCAAGGCTGCATTTGTTTGATCAAAAATACAGTAAAACAGTAATATTGTGAAATATTATTACAATTTAAAATAAATGTTTTCTATTTCAATATATTTGAAAATGTAATTTATTTGTGTGATGGCAAAGCTGAATTTTAAGCAGCCATTACTTCAGTCTTTATTTATTCTAATATGCTGATTTGGTGCTCAAGAAACATTTCTTATTTATTATCAGTGTTGAAAACGGTTGTTCTGCTTAATATTTTTGTGGAAACCGTAATACATTCATCCGGGTCTGATGAATAAGAAGTTCAAAAGAACAGTATTTATTTGAATATAATTATTTTTTAACATAAATGTCTTTACTTTTGATCAATTTAATGTTTCCTTGTTGAATAAAAGCATTAAACAAGGAAACAAAAATCTTACTGACCCCAAACTTTTGAATGGTAGTGATGTAAAATACCTCATATAAAATAATACAAAACAGTTCATATAATATTTATATTGACGTCTTAGTTTGATGATCAACAATTTAAGCACCTACTTTGACCATTTTCCTGAACATGGTAAAAAATTTAATTTTTAAGATCTTCAGGCCCTATTCTGTTCCCCTTTTATGGAAAGTGCTACTTGCTTTATTAAATAATTTGAAATTAGGCTTTTAGAAGGAGTCAGTGCCATCACACAGTAGCTGGATTAAATGTCCCAGATCTAATTTTATAACACTACTTCCTCTAGTACTTCCAGAGAGGAGACAGCACTCTGTCCTTATTTCATTAAGCTGTTCTCTCAGATTGGGTTACACATTGCTCACTTTGACCTTTTGTGTTAGTTCATCTCAAAGTGTAGTTATTTTTAAAGTCCCACAAAGCAAACAGAAGTGTTCATCACATATCTGTCTCTGACTGGAAACTGGAGTTGTTGTGTGCGTATACATGTGTGGGAGGATATTCCCTCCAGTAGCTGCCCATACTAGCGTTATCACTTTCTAAAGCTGATGGAAACCTGAATAGTATGTGTGGGGGGGCGGCGTTAAATGTCCCTTCAGTACAAAGTGATTGATTGATTAATCTGTGAAGGTTTTAAAGTGCATGATGTGTATTACCAGGGCAGATCAACTTTTCATAAAAAAAAAAAAAAGAATAATAATTTAAAACAATGTTGTGTTGTTTCTCAGGCTATAGTACAAGTCACTCACGTTCCTCCAGTCTGTCGGAGTTCTCCCACAGGAGGAACACTTCGATCGGGAGCGCTTCCACCGGCATTGCTAGCATCCCTGAGCCCAGTGAGGAGAGTGACCAAACTACAGTACCCCCTACAGCCCCGGGGGTCTGCGCTGCTGTGCCTGAACACCCATCAACCCCTGACAGAGCTGCCAACAGGTCAGACAGACACTGCTACCACTGCCTGCTCTATATTCATCAAGCTTTAGATTCAGGAAATTAAATAAATGTAGATTTATCAGGTTTATTTTCCCATATATACAAGGTATCCAGTGAAACAGGATTCAATGGAGTCTCAGCTGAAAAGAGTGGATGCCACACGGGTGGATGCCGATGACGTAGTTGAGAAGATTTTGCAAAGCCAGGATTTCACCCACAGTCTGCTGGACTCCAGCACTGAAGGTAACAATGGGTTCTTTATGTTTATTAATAGACATCGCTTGAGGTTAAAGGGATAGTTCACCCAAAAATGAACCAAATTGAACCCTGCGGCTCGTGACGACACATTAATGTCCTAAGACACGAAACGATCGGTTTGTGTGAGAAACCGAACAGTATTTATATCATTTTTTACGTCTAATACAACGCTATGTCCAACTTCCTTGAGCGCGCGCATGGCATCCGATGCGTGAGGTGTGTACACGCTCTGGCGTAGTTTACGTTAATGGGTGTGTTGATATCTAGCCGAAGAGCAATCAACCATAACTTCAGGCGAGCAGGCTCAGAAGTTGGGAATACGTGGAAAGTCACCACTCCAGAATGAGTTCGCGCGAGAGAACGTAATCTTTTAGTTTTAAGTCGGTTTGAACAATCCGGATAAGCGCAAGTAAGTACCATTAGCCGTCGTACCTACAATGACTGTGCACCGTGTAACCAATGAGTGACGTATACGCGCGAGAGATCACTTCCGGCGCTTGCGTAAACCACGTCAGAGCGCGTACACAGCTCACGCATCGGATGCCGTGCGCATGTTCAAGGAAGTTGGACATAGTGTTGTATTAGAGGTAAAAAATGATATAAATACTGTTCAGTTTCTCGCACAAACCGATCGTTTCGTGTCTTAGGACATTAATGTGTCGTCACGAGCCGCAGGGTTTAATTTGGATTTGTCTGTGCATGTTTTTTTTACTCTCATAGATTTTGTTACCATTGCCATGCATTATACGACTGATAGACTGCAATGGCTGGACTTAAAAATCATAATTTGTGTTCTACTGAAGAAACAAAGTCACCTACATCTTGGATGCCCTGGGGGGTAAGCAGATAAACATCAAATTTTCATTTTTGGGTGAACTATCCCTTTAAGGATGTTGCTATAACCGCAATATCGCAATACCGCACTATTGGCGAGCCAACCACAGAGGAATGCAAGAACTGCAGCAACCGCAATATTTGCGTGTTTTCTTTTTTCGTAAGGTTATGCCCTTCTTGTTTTACACTTCGTGCATATGTACTGAATATTAAATAAGTTAGTAATGATAACATAATGTGTACCATGCTGATTTGTACAGAGGATCCATAGATTTTCTCTTAACAAGCCTAAACAGACAGTGAATGAGAGAGATCGACTGACCGTGTGCGATTACTTGCGTCTGTCCTTCAGGCCGAGTCATATTTGTGAATATAGTGGCGCTCAAAATTAAAATGATTTCAACAGCGTGTTTCATTACATCTCTCTTTGAATCAGTGTTTTTTTTTTACGTGTAGTTGAATGAATGGTTTAAACTTTAAAGACTCACTCAAAGACAGTCCCTTGCAACAATGTAACTGCACTGACTGACAGCCCGTCTAGAATGCGCAGGTGAAATATCAGCAGAAAGTCTCTTGTCCAGTCAGATTTGAGGATCAGAATGAACTGTTAAACATATAGGCTAACAATTAATAGCCAGGTTTATATTCTGTTACGTGGACCCTTATTTTGACATTCTCTTCTGTTTTCTTTACTTCCTGTTTCAACACTCTATTTAGATTCGGTTTCATTGGTTTCTGAATATAACCTCGTTACATCATAACACACACACACTCATAGATTTTATATATATATATATATATATATATATATATATATATGGCGATAATACCGCATATCGCGCTATTGAGCCACTCAAAAACTTATTTCAAAAATAAACAAAAAAAATCTTAATGACCACAAACTTTTAAAAAGTAGTGTAAGTGATGTAAAATAGCTATATAAAATAAAAAATAAAACAGCTCATATTATATTTAGTTTGACGATCAAAAATATATGAATGTCACACATATATTTTATATATATATATATATATATATATATATATATGGCGATAATACCGCATATCGCGCTATTGAGCCACTCAAAAACTTATTTCAAAAATAAACAAAAAAAATCTTAATGACCACAAACTTTTAAAAAGTAGTGTAAGTGATGTAAAATAGCTATATAAAATAAAAAATAAAACAGCTCATATTATATTTAGTTTGACGATCAAAAATATATGAATGTTAAGCACCTCTGAGAAAGTGTTGATGTAGGCTTTTATAGAAGACACTGTAATTTTAACTAAAAATTTTTTAAATCGTGTATAATGCCCAAATTCCCAGTAAAGAACTATAAATGAAGCAGGCAACTCTTTGAAACCACCAATCGGAGAAGTCGCTGTTACCATAGTAATGAGAACTGCACCAAAAGAGCTTAGCATTGAGCTGTCACGAAGAACTGCAAATCATGTAATCAAATTAGTCATTTTACAATCTCAAACATCTTATTTTACTGTTATATGTCTCTTTCACAATTAACTTCAGTTATATTACATTTTATGCTTATAATAAATGGCTATAGATTAAAATTGTTTTATATTGTACCATTTTTTTTTTTATTTGTTTACATCAACAGTGCTTCATGGGATTAAAGTTCATTCTCTTATTAACGATTACTAAACATTTCATATTTTTAGTCACTATATTTCCAATAATATTTTATAAATTCCATCTTTCTTTCATTCTGACTGCTATAAATCAATTGTTTTATATTGTACTATTATTTGTATACATCATTTGCAGCATCTCTTGGGATTGTAATCTTTCAAATTGTTGTCTTTCAAAAAATATTTCATAAATTCCATCTTTCATTCTGATCACTAACACTGAATTTTTGCTGCTTTGAAATTGCAATTTGGGCCACTGACTTGCTTGTGACGGATCGGCATCAGTGCAGACTTGAAAGTTGGATTGAGAGCAAACAGAAATAAAAAACAGAGCTAGAAACAGGTTGTTTAATTGGTAGCAATGTTTACAGGTAGCTGCTGCTACTCAGTAGGTGTATTGAAGTGTCTCTGTGCCAGAGCACGTATCGATGTGTGTGTCCTATTAGTTTTCATAATATTTTTAGATGACCTGGCGACAGGTTCTCATTAGAAATGGACCAATTTGGTTTTTGTATCCCCAGAGAAGAGTCGTGACTTTGTGCATGCAGAATGGAGGCGATATCTGTTTCAAGTGTGTGTGTGTGTGTGTGCGTGTGTGTGTGTTTCAGAGGAAGGTCTGCGCTTGTTTGTGGGTCCTGGTGGGAGCACAGCACTTGGTAGCCATCACCTTCCTGCCAGGTGAGTTTGAAGGAATATTTCAGCCAAAAATGAAAATGCTTTCATCATTTATTCACTAAAATGTCATTCCAAACCAAAATATGTCTTTCTTCCTTGCAACACAAAATGAAATGAGAGTAGAACACCCAAGTTGCTCTTTAAATGGGGGATTGAGTCTGTTAAGCTTTAAAAAATTACCAGAAGGGACCATAAATGTATTTTTATGCTATATTCAGTGTTTCAAAGCCATACAATAGCCGGTATGATGAAACCATGAAATATAGAGCGTCTCTTATTGCATTTCATAGAAGTAAGACAATCAAACAGGTTTGAAATGACATGAGGGTGAGTAAATAATAACTATTTTAATGCTCGGGTTACTGTCTCTTTAAAAAACAGAGCAAAATCAGCCAGTAAGCAGTGGTATCCCTCTACGCTTTAAAAAATAGTACATCACTGCATTTACTGGGTTGCATGTAAATGCTGTTTTCTTCTCTTTTCAGAGTTGGAGCTGGTGCCTACGAACAGGTGGTGATCAAACGCTAGAGTTGGGAGATGACAGAAGGAGAAGTGTCAAAAACCAAAGTCTGTTTCGTGGGAGGAGAAAGGGACTAAGAGATTCAGACATGTTCGTCTCCTCTCACATTAGGAGTGTTTGTCACGAACCTGTTTCATCCTTGGAATGGTAAAGAACCGACAGCTCCTCTGTATGAGGCTGCCATTATAGGTGTCTTGTGTTTCACTGTGAGGTCAAGTTTGTCTCCCAATACGTCCGCTTTGAAAATCAAAGAGCGTTTTTCTTGCATATTTTTTAAAATGTATATTTCATATTATTGTTTTAGTTTGTTTTTACCCATGTTTACATGTTTGTGAGCCATGTCAGTAACATTTGATGGATTGTATTAATCTTTTACAGTACATATGAGGTGTATACTCTCTGCAGATGAAGGTGACCCCTTTGCAAAATGTTTTTGTCATCTCATTACTGTCAGAATGGAAATCAAACCGTCCTCACTCACCCACAGCGTCTCACTTTGTGCGTGTGAGAAGTCGCGATGCGTTTTGACAGATGGAGCCGTTTTCAGACTTGAAAAAATGTCCATTTGAATAGCACTTTGAATTGAAGGACTTTCTGTGTATCTCCAACACTATAGGGAGTTTTGAGGCTGAGCTGTTGATCAAGTTAACCCATACACGGAAAATGTGTATTTCTTCTTTATTCATTGTCTTAAATGACTTTCAGCTTGAGAAAACTCCTACAGCTGCATTATATGTTGAATGAGACTACTTATGAAATTTTGCAATTCAATATATTGACATATTAGCTACCTAAAATCCGAGCAGGTGAATATCTGATAAGTACGTTTCTGGCATCATTAATATCTCGTAAATATATTGGCTTTCATGCAAGGACAAAATGAGCCAAGCTGTTCTCAAGCTACAATTAGTAACATGGCAGCACAGAACAAAGTATTTAACTATTTCAGCAATGCTTGAAACATTTAGCACAAGGCTCTTGAGGCGTGTAGCTCTTTTTATCCTCTCTATAACACTACAAAACCTTTTTTTTCCCCCCATGTTTTTGTAGTTACTTGATGCATCACTAAAATGAAGGTATTGACTATTTTCATAGTATCTCTGTCTGTAAGATCAGCTATAGGGCATATCAGAGTCATACATTAGTGCTTCTCTAGTTTTATGTGACCGTATGCCCATCTCTTCTCAGAATCCATTCGCTGTTTTATTAATATAAACTCACTTGCCTCTACAATTTAAATGTGTGTGAGGATTCGCAGTTGAGCGCGAGTGTACAATTTATTTGTAGCACTTGATTATATCATAACTGTCTAGAGTTATATTGTAGAAATGCATGGGTGTCACACCTACTCAATGTGTCCAAAGCATTTTGTGTAGTCTTTGCTAACTCCATCAGATTGATCCAGATCTGTTGAGATCCAAACACAAAAAAAAAAAACATTGACGGGAAGCTTGGATTCAACTCGGCCATACATCTCAGGTTTATTATTTTATCTTACGCAATTACTGCACAAATATCAAAGCACCACACTGCGATTGTACAGAGCTCCTAAAGAGACATGGTGATATGTCTAAATAAGAGATGGGAGGAAAAATTATATATCAGTGCTTTTGCGTTCTCTCGCAAATGTTTTGGATTGCTTAGACAAACTTTGTTCACTTGCAAAACCTTTGCGTTCAACTGAGAAACGTTATGTTCACTTGAAAAGAGTGAGTGCAAAGCTTCTCGTGGGAACACAAAGATTTTGCATGCAAACAAAAGTTTCTTGTGGGAATGAAAACACTTTGCATGAAAACGCAAATCTTTATTGTGGGAATACAAGCATTTTGTGAGCGATCGCAATGTTTCTCAAAGGGAACCTTTGTATGAAAATGCAACAACATTTATATATAGGCCTACTTAATCCTCCCATGTCATATTGTTCTTCATCACTATGTCCCTTTAAGTGCTCCGTTGCAAATACCAGTATATTTAGAGGTTATCTGCAATATTTCAGCTTCATTACTTTTCATCAGAGTTTAAACTTGATTTTTAGTTTTTTAATTGATCTACTGCCAAAATGAAAGTCTATTTTTTATGTATTTGAGCATATTTTGTGTTACCGAAATTGTCAAGATTCACTTTTTCCCGCTGGTCCTAATAGGTCCTGGTACTCTACATGTTGTAAAAACATGGTGGCTTTATCTCTTCTGTGAAGTTTTTGGTCCTTGTAATTGTACCGTGTCTGATGTTTAAAGGTGACATCGCAATGTTGTGTTCTAACTTTTGGCTTCCATGCCATGTGTTCTGTTATGATGCTGGTAAAGTATGTACCACGCACTGTTAAATAAAACCACATTTCAAAGAAGGTGTCACATATTTGCATTTTTAATGACATGTTTAATGGTTGTCTTCTCCATCGATCACACAGATTTGGCCATATAATTGAAATATGTCTTTCTGATGATCCTACACATACAGTCAAAAACTAACAATCGTCTTAAGTGCAGCTTGCTTTCTTTTATTCTGGTTACAGAGCTTTCTGGATCTGTTATACATTACCTTAACTCCCAAGCTCCCTATCCCAGTCCTCCTCCATGTTGTTTGCTACACCTGATACGGTTTTCACATCATCTTTTTCTTCCTCCACCTCCTCCCCCTCATCATCATCGGTAGGCAGGTTTAACACCGTTCCATCAGCGCTCATCCTCACCCGCTCATCCTCCAGCAGTTCCTCCCGGAGACGCTGAATGCTCCCACACAGTGCTCTCACTCTGGGACTGGACCACACACGTTCCAAAGGAACACAAATGGTGTTGCCCTGCTGGTAGATGGGCTGCCACTCACGTGCATCCCCTTCGACCCCATGCTGGAATACTTCCATTAATGGAGGAGCGTAGAAGTCTGCATTATTGTTGGAGTCCATGTTCATTCTCCTGAGCCATTCCCGTCTCAGTTGTTGTGCCTCATACAGGACCTCATTAACTAAAGTCTTCTGGTAGATGTTGTTATCACACAGGCTTGGATACACCACCTTGTACAACTAAACAAGGAACAGCAAAGAAAGATAAGACATGACTGCAAATATCAGCAGTTTCAGACAAAAAAATTACTTTGTTTTTAGCTTAAACCTGTGAAGTCAGCATTAAAAGAAAAGTTCACCATATTTTTGAAATGTTAAGTTACTGATCTTATTGCCAACAATTCATCTGTGCATGTTTTGTATTTTGACCTCAACCTTTCAATCAACAACCGATGGACAGAAACAAGTTCCCACCCTACATTTTTTTCTTTTTCAATAGTCTGTTTACAAAAAGGAAGAAAAGACCTGTTTCTACTTCCTCTTCATTGTGACTTCAAGAGTCATGTCAAATTAATCTTCTTTTTTTTTTTTTATCAAAGCTTGTGCTCTTCGTGGCTGTGAAGCACCTACAGCTCTGCATATTCTCCCAAAGACTGCATGTTACAGACGCAATGTAATGAAACAGATTATGGAAGAATAAAAAAATTGTTCAATGTATTGGTTGTTGATTAGGTGGGGGGAATATCTAAATGCAAGATTGCAGTCCATTGTAAAAAAGGGGTGGGTTTTAAACTGACTAAATGATTGGTCACCAGAATGGAAATCTGTCATTACATCGGAGGATCAAGTTATATGATATTTGAATAAAAAAATTGCATGGATCAATTCATGCTGACTTTATGCCGAGCCTATGTAATTTTTTTATTTTTTTTAGAAAGTACAATATTACTCTTTTAAACAAATATGCAGTTACAAGTGCAACACCTCATAAGAAAAACAGTTTCTCACCAGTTTATACATAGAAGGTTCCAAGCTTTCAGCATTGCTCATGGACTGATTTATCCCATCAAAATTCCTCTGGAACACACCGATCTGGGTGCAGAATCCCACATCTCTCCAGTGGCCAACAGCTTCTCCAACTCCAGTGAACTGCACAGAGTAATCATATTCTCTACAGACCCTGTGAGCCCTGTGAGGGAGAGAGAGATGGAACATCGTTTAGCCAGAAAAACTGTTAATCATTTTTAACATGGACACATCTGTGTAGATCTAAATCTGATCCTAAATCAACACTGGAATGTGTTTGCACTAGATGTTGAACATTTGCTTACCAAGTCTGAAACTCTGCTCTGGTCCATTCAAACTTATGATCATAGTTTCTGAAGCCTCTAAGGCCCGGCAGCAGCGGGTTGAACTCTGCGTTAGGTGTGCTGACAATCACGGCACCTGGTGCCATGTACCCAAACACTACATCTGAAAAGCTCTCCACCTCCACAAGCTCCAGGTGTTCGATTCTTAAAGGGGTTAGAGATGTTTATGTTGACAAAGCTCAAGTGAAACATATAATCTTAAAGTAACTTTTAGTTTATTTGCCTGAAAAACCAAAGATGTGGCACACTTACAACTCAACACATGTAACAAGATCAAATCCTCTGGTGCAGGGCTCCCTCTCTGTGACAGACCCTTGGTACAACTCAATGGTCAAAGGCCCATCACTTGGCTGTAGATAATCACTTACAAGTGGAGCCAATGTATGCCTGGCAAAAAAAATAAATAAATAAATCACACAAGACAGATGTACACATGAAGCTTGATTTGCATATGGCCAAAAGTACTTGGAGGCCCCCTTAATTCCACTTATGCAGCATAAACCGTTGGCCTTATGGGATAGCGCTGTAATTTTAATGCCATCTAACACTACACACAACAATGGGAGGTTTGCAGGCAAGATCCCAAACTTACATTCTCTTCAAGAGGACGACACTGTTGATATCAACTCCCACTAGTAACTGTATACCGTTGCGATGAAACTTCAGCTTTTTCAGTAAGCGACATTCAGCGCAACCGACATCGATGACCTGCGGAAAGATCAAATCCCAGGTAGGAAGACAAAAAGATTAGCACGCTAGTTCAAGCGTAGTGTCAAAGGCCACCGCGACTTAACTTTAAAATTCTATACATGCGTTTATTGACCTTTTTAGGTCTGTAGGTTTTCACGTAATCGATAACAAACTGGTATCGCTGCATGTACAGCGGAGGAGAAAACGGTGTGGTCATCTTGGTCAGTTCTGCTCGGCTGTCCGTCCTCATTGAACACATGCTCGAGGTGACACCCTCAGCTCAGCTGTGTGTGAATGCTTTTGCTTTACTCAGATACACTCAATCTTTAGCAAGGGCCATTAAAGCCGGTGCAAAAAGGATACATTACTGGACCGGTGTTAATTTAGATATTTATTTTAGTAAAAGAATGTGCTACAAATAAATAATTAAAACGTAATATACAGTAAGTTTAATACTTTAAAACTTACAATAAATAAACTGTTTTAGAAGCGTATACACCGTTTTTAATAGTATTATTTTAAAAGCAGGCTATGCAATGAACACGGCGGTTGAGCGAAATAGGCTACATTATTGCGTGGTTGATCAGCCCACTTAAAAAATCAATAAATTAATGGATATTAAATATTATTTTGACTTTAAATTATTTTGTCTTACTTGAACATTAGCTGTAGCTTCCGCTAAGAAAACCCATTACAGCGTAGAAAAAACAATCGGCCTAAAGGGAACACTGCAACAATATTACAATACTGATTTATAGATTATAAGTCGATCAGCAGTCAGAGTTACTTTTTGTAAGGACAAACAATACATGCGACTGTATTATTGTGTATTTTTGCGCTTTGGTTGTCCCCTACAGTTAAATGAAATGGAATTCGTGGCTCTAAAAAGACAACATTAAACATTCAGTTGAAGGCAGTATGAGAAGTTACCGAAATCCATTTCCCCTCTATATTTTGCACAGAATGGCTTTAATGTTCTCCAAATTCACTCTGGTGATGTCAAATCTCCCGTTTCATACTCTAGAAAGCCTTTTTTTTCCTACAAATACAGCTACAGATATATAGAAGGGTCACCAAATCCAGCAGGCAGCATACAGGTCACGGAAATCTTTTACACCATTTTTATTTCACACAGCATGCATTTAATGTTCTCCAGATTTACTCTGATGATGTCTAGACATCACACAGTGATGTCTAGACATCACACAGTGATGTCTAAATTTCTTTCTTCTGTATTTTAGAAGGCATTTTAGTCAAACCTCCTCTGTTTCATGCTCTAGATAGAAAGCATTTGTCTGATGCAAACTGTTACAGATATAGATGGTTCACAAAATCTGACAAGGCAGCATAACAGGTCACCAAAATCTATTTCCCTCCTTTATTATACACATAATTCCTTTAATGTTCCCCAAATTCACTCTGGTGATGTATAATTTCCTCTGTTTCATACTCTAGAACAGTAGTTCTCCAGTCCTGGGGACCCACCGCTCTGCACATTTTGTATGTCTTCCTTATTTAATGCACCTGTTTCAGATCATCAGCTCGTCAGGAGGGAGATCCATGAACTGAACTGAGGGCGTCAGTCGATAAGGAAGACATACAGAACGTGCAGAGCAGTGGTACCCCAGGACTGGAATTGAGAACCACTTCTCTAGAACAGGGGTCTCCAAACTCGGTCCAAACCAGAGTTTAGCTCCAACACACCTGAACCAGCTAATTAAGGTCTTACTAGGCACACTAGAAACTTCCAGGCAGGTGTGTTGAGGCAAGTTGGAGCTAAACTCTGCAGGACACCGGCCCTCCAGGACTGAGTTTGGAGACCCCTGTTCTAGAAAGTTTTTTTTTTTTTTTTTTTTAAACAGCTACAGACACCAAAGGTCACCAAATCCGACACAGCAGTATTGTCTGTTACCAAAATCTGTTTCCCTCTTTATTTCACACAGAATGGCTTTAATGTTCTCCAAATTCACTCGGTTGATGTCTAAATGTCT